GGATCGGGTTGCAGAATCGTGGTAGACGCTATCACATTTGGTTAAACAATTCGATGTTTACTATTTCATCCAAGCGGGAATAATTTTCCCTCGTTATTCCGTTGCCTAGTTCACCGGCACGCTGCTGACCGCATCACACACATGCGCCGGAAGTTTTTCGGTAACTTCCGGCTAGTACGCCGGCGACTAAAAGAGTTGTCCGCCTAACTAATCGTGGGAATAAATTGGTAACAATCGTCAACAGTTGTATATTTTTCCGAGGGTATCCGAAAAACCAGGTTATATTGATGCTTTCGAAGTTTTCGGCTGAATCCACAGCCCTTTCCCAACAAAGGTATAAGAGGAGCGAAGCTTATTCGTAGAAGCAAGCTGTTTCTCTCGAGGATAACCTCTTCCATTTCCACCGATAAAAATCCTGTGGATATGGACAATAGATGTGAATAATAATGATGGAGATTTCAAATTTACGAATGCAGAAAGCAAACAAAAGTGATTGCGGTCGGATGGAGAGACAAATACCAAAGCGGACGATTTGTTGTCACTCGGATCTCGACGTAGGTTTCACGGCTAGGTAGTGTTGGTAGAGGGCCAGCCAAGCTATACTATTTTCATGTAAACGCTTACATAAAAAAATTGGCTACATAAAGGTTACCTATAATACTGATTCTCCTTGGGTCAAATGCAACCTAAAACGGAAGCCCTTGAAGGGACGGTGCTCGTAAAATGCCGGAAATCGCCTCACTGTTATACCAAAGAGTTGCTAAAACATTTCAAAAATCCGGAAAGCGGCCACGTAAATTTCATTGGTTGCTACCTAAATTTCTTGATATTTTTACATTGATGTTAATTAAAAGATTTATTTTTCGTTTTCTACGATGATTTCTAACATTAATCAAGAAAAATAGCTCTACTAAAGAGCAACTCTTTAAAGCTAAGTTTCGGAAACCTATAGCGCTAAAGTTGCTCACAAATATGAACAGAGTTAAAGGTTACTCCCAAGTCTAACGGAAAGCAAAAGGTCTGTGAAACGTCGTCGAGTGACTAGTCATGTGTTCAAAAGATTGTTAAACGTTCAATAAATTCGAAGATATTGAAGTTATGGATGAAATAGTTTAATTTTTGGTGCTTGATATGTGCTCGACGTTGCTAGAACTACAAATGGCTGCTCCAAACGCCAAACGTTGCTCCGGCAAAAGTTGCTGAGCATAATTAAGTAAGGTCTTATCCTCTTCCTGGACTTTTTAAAGTAGTTCTTTTTAAACAACGTGGATGCTACTGATGCACTGGAAACTTTTGAACTTCAAAAGTAGTACAGTAAGTGTGGTACAGTGTAGGAAATCACACAACGCAGTGTAACGCTTAACTGCTACATAATGCGGGATAAAAAACTTTTTTGGTCCTAAACGAACGCTTTGTTAAAATAATTGATTTATTTGAAAACAAAAAAAATTAGATACAAGTTCATCAGTTACGAAGTAGGACATTATATATCAAGTTTTACCTGGTATGCTTACAGCTATCCACGTTACAGTAGAAAGTTTTGGAAGATTAAAAATATCTTAAAATTAAGCAATGAGCACTGCTGAGATGAAGCAAGTTAACGGTATCAAATTTTGTTAACTGAAGCATCGAATACAGGAACTTTCTTCTCATACGGTTGCCACGCAAATGTGTCTACTTGGAACATATTACGGTCTCTTATAAATCACTTCGCGAATCTTAACTAAATCTTAAGTTACTCTAAAACCTTACATGCAGTTTACTACTTAAAACAATTTTTCTATTCCAATGCATTCCTCAACTTTAGTCTGCACTAATTATAATGCGATTTGAACTAGTGTGAACGAATATCACACAGTTCGTTTCACTGACAGACGACACACGTTTCCCTTTCCGTTTCTACAGTAGTTTCTAAAAAACTTACCCATTTATTCTACTGCTACTTTTCGATTGAAGTTCTAACCTGTTAAATAACTGGCAAAAAATACACCTAATTTTCATTTCTCCTTCTACTCTAGATCTCCAAAGATTTTCCTAGACTAGCAAATTCTTCGTAATGTAAGCATCTCATCCTAACGAGATTGGGTGACATGGCGGTCACACCCTAAACCAGTGAGTGCCCTGACAATCGGGATTCCAACGAATTAAACAAACCCAGCACCATTCAAAGTGGCAGCGAGAACACGTCATATGATTACATCCACCTTAAATGAGACAAAAGTACAAATCGATTACCACTTTTTGTTCGAATTATCAGCCGCTTTTTGAGAAATGAGTCCACTCCCCTCCTCGAACAGTTGGGAGAAAGACCAGATCCAAAAAAAGAGGTAACAAAAAAAAAACCTTCTGGTCTGCCTTGGTCACAGAATTGATTGTACATACTATGAATACACCGAGGTATTTTCCTGAATTTTGGCAACTGAACTACTTTTCAGCGGAAAGTTTCAACTAGCACTCTAGAAAGTGGCGCTCAGAATACGCCATATACTCTGCTGCTGGACCGTCTGGAGCGAAAGTCTTTTTAACTTCACATCAAGGGGAGAAAACCTCGCCGTTGTTCAGTTTTTACAAAATTCTGCCCTTTTGCTGCAGTCAACAGTGTTGCTTAAGTTTTCGTACGTGAGCACGCAAAAGTTGGTGACACGTTAACACGTTTTTCAGCTCGGTCTTCCAGTGAGGTAAGCCACCAAAAATGTTATTTTTGAGGTTTAAACTGTTGGGAAGAGTCACATCAATTAGAGTTCCCCTTTACTCACCATTTTTCTCAATATTTGTCTGACATCCGGGGCACTTCTTGCTGATCTGCTCAATCACTTGTCTCGCCTCAGCCTCCCAGCGCGCTCGTCTCGCGTTTTCTAAATTGACTCGGTAATTCTGAAAAGGAGGAGATCGATATGATTCTATACACCTTTTTTTAAGAGACCAAGTTAAATTTGAGCATTGATAATCAAAGTTAACAAGCCTTAAAGAACATAAACAAAACTACACAACACAATTTTCAAGGTTCACTCGTGAAACACTAAATCATAATCCTTCAGAGTATCCATCATAATAAAGCAGAGAGGCAAAGAGGAAGCGCAAAACAGACAAAACTGCTGTCCAAGACAACCGCACGCTCAGGTGTTTTCATTCCTATTGACCCTTCAGAAACTCTCAAGATCTCGTAAGTAGTTCTCTTCTCTCCCTTCATAGTTCTCGACTGTTTTCCAGTCTCTTTCTATGTGAAAAACTTTCATTGCACATACATGAAGTATGCAGCAAGCGTTAGACGGTTATACAATCGTTGGTTCCTACCAAAAGAGGTGTGGACTGTTACAAGTTTTGGATTCGATATATACTTACACTAGCCCTGGCATTTGTTGTTGGATTTGACTGCGTCTGATTGCACGAGTGACCTCGCTGAAAGGGCTCCTTGCACTCTTTACAGAACTCAAACTAGAAATAAAGAGCAAAAGGAAACTGTATGGCATGCTTGCGAAAGACAGGTCCGCCCAGTACGATACGACTACTAACAAGGTAAAAAAAAACCCCTTCCATCAGACGTAATTGATTTCGCTTCTTTCCACCCCACGCCCCCATGGGGCTCTTGCTTGTGAATTGGTGCTTCGCAAGGTGGGATGAGCAGTGACGGGCTCACATTCCTCCCGCAGAGGATAAGAAAGATGGGGAAGGGAGTTATTTTATCCCTTCTGTAGAAATCGTGGTGAGAGAACAGCTTTTCATCAGTGAAGACAGCGTAACCATCTAGGTAATTATACATGTTGTTTTCGCTATGAGAGTTTGTACCGGGTGAAATTTCGTCTGAGCATCGATCCTTGCCTTACAACTCGTGGAGTTATTTTCACATGTGCATATTTAGTTACCTGGCAATAATCACACCTGATACAGCGCATGCCTGGTGCTGGCAAAAGGCCCATCCCGCAGCCACGCCCTGGACATAGCACACCACCCTCTTTCAATACATACTCCTCGGCTCCAAACCTCTGATAGCGGTCGTACTACAAACAAATTCATGCATTCTACATTATACGTTGTGTATCACATACACTCTCAATTTCACACTTCCAGAATAGTAAAACTGTAGCCTTCGTAGCTGGCTGCCGCGAGATGCTTGCGCCTTTGCCGCTCATCACTTAGCGCTAAAAAATCAGTAAAGCGCTCATAAAACTGCAGTTACACAGGCGACAGAATTACAGCTTCGAAAAGGCGCACGGTCTTCAACAATTTTAAAGAGTTACTGGGTTAACATTTTGATACCAGTGTATTGGAATGTCTTACACGATAAAATACGGAGAATCCAGCTCCAGATTTAATGGAACTACTAACCTGATCAGGCTCGAGCACCCGGAAATGATGAGCCTCCGAAATTAGTGCGCTGTTACAGCTACCTGTGGGAGAAAAGGCATAAAATGTAAGGAGAACCTTCTCAAAAACAAACGCAGAAAATTCGTTTTGAAAGTCAACAATTGCAACACCAATAAATCGCGCAAATTATTCTTTCAGAACTCCACAAATCCTTAATATGAGACGATAAAATGAAGACTGTAAGAGATTTATAATAATTATCCACTGAAAGTTAGCGAATTTTTCCTGAAAGCGCGCGATTTGCATGTGGAAATACTCCCAACAAAAAGAAAGATATACACAAAGCGCTCTTGGATATCCTCCATTAAAACATTTTACGAATATGCTGTAACAGGGGTTGTAAAACGTATAAGCCTTCAAAATAAAATTTAGAAAAAAACCCGAACAACAAACACATTTCAAACTTTTCTTTCTCTCTGATTTTCCCCATTTTTCAAATTTCGAAATATCATAAAAACATCAGGCGCCAAACAGCGTAAAATAAACCGCGACATAAATCTGAAATCCCATCATAAACCCTTTTCTGAAATAATAAAAAGCCGTCTTAAATTCCTTGTAAAGAGAAAATGTATGAGATGCATTGCAAGATTGATTAATCAAGCGAACAATCGAATCACATCTCGGATCTCGCTTACGTCACATTTCGAACAAAAGATCATTGTTTACACATCTGACATCGGGGTGGCTTGAATTAAATCGAGTCCAGCCGAAGAGCTTCAACCATTTCTCTGCTGGAGGAGGTAGAAAGGGGAAAAGACACGACTAACAAGCAAGTGACATACCTTTTTACATTGAGAGCTTAAAGTACTACGAGAAATCGAAGGAAAAATTTAGATTTTTGTCTAAAAGAAGATTCAGTGTGGTGGGAAAGCCAAATTGGTAAGATTGCTTGATCAAGCGCTCTAAGACTAGCGAGTTTCGATTCGAGTTTCGATTTGAGCATCTCAAGAATTGATCTCAAACGAGCACGGGCAGGACACTCATACTGGCATTAGAAGCACACAAAGTATTCAAAATAGTTCGTATAGCAATTTGTAAGTACTCTTTATTTCACTTGCGATTTAAGAAGGACTTGAGGAAAACGATTTAGTATTCTAAACACGTTCGAATCCATCATTAGCATCCCGTCGATCTCGGCTCGAGCGGGTTGTACAGTCATTGATCGTCTATACATTATGCTCGCTATTTTAACGTTGAAATTCATTTCAGGTGTATAAATCTTTGATTCTACTTTAAAAGTCGAAAATTAACCGACAGTTAAGGATGTGTATCATGTGAAATTATAGAGAAACAGTGCAAGTCAAATATAGGAGACGTAAATATTCGAAGCTGCTTCGATCAAATTCAAGTTGTTTCAAATTACAATTCCCTACGGCATCACAATATGCTCTCTTCAAGCCTTCAAACGCCAACACAATCCTAGAGCACATTCGTGTGTTTCTCAATCTGTGCTTTCATTTGAAGGAATTAGTACTTGTATTACTACAGGAGGCGGTTGCCTAAAATCTCCATTGTTGTTCTTTTGTAGATATACACTTAAGCTGTCGGTATCTCTCAAAGGAGTCGCTTGGTTCGAAACTTTTGTTTCGTATGTACTGCGAATATCTTTCACGCTTACCATAGATTTACCCAAATAATCTTCTTATTCTGGTATAATTTCTGGTAAAATGACTTAAGTAGATTTTACAATTTCAAGACGTAAGATTGGATATAATTAGCACTTGAATATTCTCGTAAGTAATATTACCTCCCGTTCCCCTTACGGTTGAAAGACCTGACGCTGCGGAGAAACCAGTCAGCAACAATTTCATCAGGATATTTTTTTGTTTTTACTCTTCTTTATGTTTAACTAGTATTATATTTTTTGACATATTGAAATTCAGTTTGAAACGCATTTCAAAATTAGTTTTATTTTTACATCCATGCAAAGATTTTTGAAAGTTTAATGAGGTACTAGTTTTTTTTACTTTTGACATGTTTTTGTTTATAGGCCATTAGATTAGTATGTAATGCCCATTTGATCATATTCATAAGTTCATTTGCACAATACATGTCCTTAATTATCATTATTATCATTATTATTACTACTATTATTATTTTTATAATCATTACTATTATTATTATAATTATTATTATTCCTATTATCATTATTGTTAATGTTATTATCCCCAGCTTGTGTTGTGCTCTCTGGCTTACAACGTAAATGTGCGTAAACTCATGCACTAGTAATGTTTGAGTCCAGACACGCTTTAATTATTATTACTAATTATTATTACTATTACTACTACTATTATTATTATTGTTATTATTATTATCATTATTATTCGTTCTTTTTGACCAGTTCTTGAAGCCTTAGACTCACGCATGCACTTCAGAACTCATAAGGAGATTTGAAACAGGACTAAACTCGAACTTCACACTCAGGCACTTTCTGAGCGCCTGAGTATATAAAGCTTTAAAAAAAAAAATAGCGCGAAAACTAACCCCCCTTTTAAATCCTAGCAGATACCACACGTGTCAGCGATGTCACAGCAGCCTACAGCGGTTTCCATGGCTCCAGTTTCTAACACAAACACGATGACAGTGGGGGAAGGGGTAAAAACTTCCACAATAGAACTCATTCTTCCCGGTCAACAGGTAAAGAGCCAGGAGGGAAATGGCGAAGAAGCCCTGGGAACTATTAATTCTTCCCGTTGGACAGATCCCGAAACCATGGCCCTGCTAAGCCTTTGGAGAGCAAACTATCGAATCATCAAAGGGAAGAAACGAAATTACGAAGAATGGAACATGATTGCGAAGGAGTTCAACAGGCGCGTAGCTCATTGCTCGCTGGGGCCCAGAACAGGGAATCAGTGCAAGGTGCGGATAAAGAACCTGCTCGCGGAATACAAACGAACAAAGGACCAATTACCTCATTCATTTCCCTACCACGACCAAATAAAAGAGATTCTCAACAACAAAAGTGATCTCTATCGCGAAGAAGAGGTGGTGCGCATCAACATACCAGCTGAACATACAGTTGCTAATGGCATCGTTGCTTCTCAAACCGTCGTTACTGCTTCTTCCACAATGACCATTCCCAGTGCTATTCCTTCGGACACGTTTACAGGTAGACATTTGCGCCCTATCAAGCCAGCCCCACCGCCCACGCCCTTAAATGCTCCGATCGCGGCTAGCCAAGCAGGGAAACACTCCATCCCCATACAAGTGTACCCGACAGTTCCTTCTCAGCCTACTCCAGCGACGGCAGTCAGCGTGGAACCTGTGCATGCACCGAGGGGCTTAGCGAGCGAAGATGAATCATCAGAGGACGAGAGCTACTCGGAAGAAATGACTGTTCGGGGCTTGAAGAGACCTACCATCGCCGAACCCCTTCCCCGGAAAAAACCGAGGAAGAATCCCAGGCCGCTTAAAACAGCTCAGAGCCGTCAGGAAGATCTTAGCATGATCGCCATTTTGCGGGAGTTTTTGGAAGACAGTCGCAAAAGGGAGGAGGACTTATTTAAAAGAATTCTACAGCAACAACTTGAAGCCGAGAGTAGATATCAACAATTTACTCTGGATGTGCTGAAGGAAATCGGCAAAATGTTCAAAAAAGATTGATCTCTAACCTTGAGATTTAAAAGCAAAAGTATGTAAAGACATTGTTTAAGACCTATTTAAAGCGAAAGCCTAATCATGTAATCACCTAATAAGTTAATTTGGTATTGTGTAAGCGTAAGCCCTTCGTCAGTCGCTGAACTGGTAAAACTAAGTTATAAGCTTCTGATAAAACCTAGTTATGTTGTTATACCTTTTCTCTACAGTTTCTTCAGAGAATTGCCCCCTTTACTCATGTAATGAGAGTTTGGTTACGTTCAGTTGTGTTGAAAAGAACGAGATTGAGCAAGAAATACCAGGCCTTTTCTTTTAACTTTCAGAAGACAACCTGCGAACAGAGCTAAGCCCCTGCTTGCAAGACGCCCCGAAGAAACTTGTGTTTATACAGTTACGTTCAACCAACAACGTTTAGCAACATTTTCTAGCTTTACTTGCCATTTCTTTCTTCATTTTAATTGTGAAAATCACATTTGAACCTAAATTGAAAAGTCCACGTTGGAGCCACGACTTGAAGTATGTGCTTCCCTCACCTCTTAGGCAGGTTACAAATGACAAGCGATCAAAGTTTTGATTTTCAGAAGTTTATTCATATTTTGGTCTCACCTGAACTTCCCGGGCAGGGCAGAGTATATCCGTATGTGTCGCTGTGCACAAACTGCCTGTCATTCAGTTTTGTTGTGGAGTAGATTGCAAAGCACTCCAAACAAACAGCGTGTCCATCGGGACAAGGAAAAACCAAAACAGGATCCCTGCAACACGATTGAACTCACGAATAAATGAACAATCGCCTCCATTTGGTGTGAAAATGAGGTCAGGCATTTGTCTGCAGGCATAATCTGTTCCTCGATCCTCACAATTTTCCGAGAAAAACAGTGAGCTTCTAGGATCACAATATGTCCAAGGACAAATTAATGAAAATATGTGAGAGCCAAATGGCGACTATATGCTTATCATCCTTCGAATATCTTTCAGAGCGCGACACAAAATGTTTGCTAAAAGCTTGGCGTCACAAAATTTTTCGGTACGGGATGTTGACTTTTCACCAATATTTCGTTTGAATTTACGTAAAAACAGATTTGTGTCCTTTTCAGAAACATTAAAAAAACGCTCAATTAAAAACTGCTCGACATTCAGTTGAAAACACTGGAGCAGTTTTCAACTGGGTGGCGAGAACTTAAACCAAAGAAACCACAACAGCCAATCAGAAGAAAGGTAGACATCACCATTAACCAATGAGAACTCAAAATAAAAACAGCTTGCTTCAAGCGCGAGAAAACACGAGTGACCAGGTTGGCACTAGTTACAGTTTTATATCTGATTGGTCGAGATGGAGGCGTAAGTTTTCAAGACCAATAACAAAGCGAAGTAAAGCAAAACAAAAGAAATCCGGGATCAATACTCATTTGAAAACAACTCATATTAGCTGAGTCAGACACCTATAGCCCTTGTCAGTCTTGACTATACTATAAATCAGTGATCATACGCTTGATGACATGGCTTGTATATTTACCTGTCATCAGCACAGGCCAAACAAGGGATTTCTCTGGTGTTTGCTCGAATCAAAGGTAGTGCAACACATCTGTCTCCCTCAGAAGCAGGATGTTGTGCACACTTAAAGTAAAACTCCTTGAAACAAGAAACACAACGGCAGAATAACAAATCATAATCCATCAATTATTTTTGCTCAGATGCAATTTGCTTAGATACACTTGAACCTGTATTAAGCGGTCTTCCATGAAAGTTCCAAAATTTTTTCACCTCTATTTAACAGTCAGCTCTAACAAGCAATGGTGGTTCCCCTTTACTGGGTCATAACTGTTTGTATTGTCCTCTTGTATTAAACGTTCACTTCAGGGGCAACCACTCGTATACAACTAAGAATTATCTGATACAATTTGTAAGGAACTAAATTTCATTTCACTTGTGGATTGAAAATCAAATAAAGCCATGATACTCCCAGGTAAGCTACACCTTAAGTGATTGCAAAAAAGGAGCCCGAAAAATTCAAGCCTCAGCAGGATCCCATGGATTGTAGACTGACTCTTCAAACGGTAATTATTGTGCTGATCAGAATCCATGCAATCTTAACCCTTTAACTCCCAAGATCTGATTGTTAATTCTCCCCTGTAGCTGCTACACATTTCCTTGTAAATTAGTTATAAGAACTTGGTGTTAGATCAAGATAGCAGCTTCTACCTGATAAGTTTGAATATTCTCATTACTTGTTTGCTGAAGAATGTATGGATATTGTAGGGAGAAGTTTTATGTTAATCACTTCTGGGAGTAAAAGGGTTAGCATGATAAAGTAGTAAAGCTCTTTCTTATACCACTATGTTTCCATCACAGCCTGCTTTTTTACATGATCCTCTGATTCTTCCTGATTTCAAGACATCTTCCCAACTACTTGGATCCTGTAAGGACAACAAAGATGTAAATCATAAAATTAACAGCACCCTCATATGTCTGCATTGAACTCACTATGGCCTTTAATATTTAAACACTGATCTCAAGAACACAGTCACTGTGACTACTTTACACCTGCAATCTATTAAGACAAGTACAGATATAGAGCAAACATCATGATATTAACCCTATGATCCCTGAGAGCGACTAGTATCTAATTTCTCCTAACAATGTGGCCCCCAAGTAAAACTTAAAGGTCATGAGAATAAAGGAAATGATCACAAACTAAGGAAGGTCTTGATTATTAAACAAATTCTCCCTGTCAGTGCCTTTGGAAATATTTTAAAAACAGTATGGAGAATGTGCACACCACTGGAGCCTATCCCAATTTGTCATTCAGAGAGTAACACCCTGAAAAATTGTGAAAGGGTATAATATCAATCAATTCAAACCTCATTTTCATAAAACCTCTCTAAAGCATATTTCTTTTGCAAAATTCCACTTCTTTATATTAATTTTTATTATTATCGAAGACAGATTTAGCTAATCAACTAATAATTGATGATATGTTAAGAATAATTTACCTGCTGAAGAACAATTGCCCCTTCTTTGCATTGTGAGCAACAAACCCTCAACTTTCCAGCAGTAACCTGTTTACAAGTCTTGCAGTAAACAAAATACTGGGCCTGCCGCCTGGAAGATGCTTTAAGATAAGAAACAGTAAATTGGGGGGAATTGAAAATGATGAGGCTATTTTATAAAGTCTTCATTTAAATGGAGCTTTGTCAAAAACTTTGTTGCCAATAATGTTGTAAAAGGAAGGTTAAGTCTGTTCCCAAAACCTGTGACCCACAATGCTGGAGTTTAACCAGCATCAGCCAACTAGGAGTATTATATTTCAACTGAGTTGATAAATATAAGTCAGCCGCCAAAAAGACATTGACAGAATGAATAGTGAATTTCCTAAGACAAAGGGCTAGCACTCAAAACAACAGCTTTAGAAACTCTTTGCCATAACCAATTCATGTTATCACTCAGATGATAAAACCAAATTATCTTGCACTATCTCCCCTCGAAGCAGCACCACAGCTTCTAAACCCTTTAACTCCCAAGATCTGATTGTCAATTCTCTCCTCTAGCTGCTACACATTTCCTTGTAAACTAGTTATGAAAACTTGGTGCTAGATCAAGATAGCAGGTTCTACCTGATAAGTTCAAATATTCTCATTACCTGTTTGCTAAATAGTGTATGGATATTATAGGGAGAAGTTTTTATGTTAATCACTTCTGTGAGTTAAAGGGTTAAGAAACTAACACCTTTTGATCATATTTCTCATTCCTCTGGGGGGTTACCCTTAAGCAATTTGGCAAGTTTCTGAGTCCCCATCTCTACTCTTGTGTTGAGAAAGCCCTGTCTGAATTGGAATGCCCACCCAAGAAGATATCACAATGACCTGGCCAGGGCTTGCACAAAAACCTCTGTTTTAACCCAGACTCTTAAACCATTCTCTTCATAAATCAATTCACTTCATCTCCCAAAAAATATCATAGCATCAGTTTTGATTCACATTTCTCTATACCTCCATCTGTTGAACTTGCTACTTCCTCTTCATCCTCACCAACAGTTGAAAGTCTAAGTTTGGCCAGTGGCATTACTTGGCCAGGTCTACTTGGTCTGGCTGACCAGCGGCCACCTCGGACAGCATGAATAACACTTTGGTGAGGTATCTCAGCATCCTAGTTAAAGTTGATTCAACACATAAATAAAGAGAAAAACAATTAACAACTACTCATTCTATGGAATAAAACTCACGATTTTGACAGATGTTTGATCTAGACCACTGATAAAGTGATAAAAATCATGAATGCAATTTGTGCTGTTGAAAACCCTGGCAAATCTTCCAAGTAAAAGAGTTATTGACAGAGTAAACAATGAAGCATACCTTCAGTTGAAGGTCATCTTTTAGTTCTCGCCCAGCAAAAATTATTCTTAATTCTGAAGCCTCAACTCCTTGATTGGTAGCTATCTCTTGTTTCAGCCTTAAAACTGTCCATTGTGGATCAATGGTGACTGGTATGTTTGTGTTGGAGTTAAACCGCACAAAGATAGTGAGCCTCCCTGATCTCCTTGCTGTTGCCATTCTATTGTTTTTACACTAATTCCTAGGAAACATAGAAGAGGCCAGGAAATAAAGGTTAAAATGATATGCACTACTTTACATAATGTCACGCAAGCAATGTAGTGTGCACAGAAGGTTCACTGGTAACACCTCACCAGCATAAACAACAAAATAAGATAACAAAACAAAGTGACATAGTTTTATACATTTCTAAGTAAGTTTATGTCCATGCTCCTCAGTTTTTCTATGCTATTAATGTCAACCAAGAATAAAAAAAAAAAGCTGTAATCACATCTGAACTTGAATATTGAAATAAGTGCGATTAAGGGTGCCAAGTAACATCTCTTAGAGGCACTGATGCATAGGGGAGCCCTTGTTTGAACCAAGAAATTCTTTCGTTATTGCAACAGTCAGCATTAATAAGACCTAACCTCTATTTCAAGTCAACACATAGAATCCTACAGCAAAAATACGATTCTACATTACGTCTTCATCACCTCTGAGTGCATAGCTAACCCACTAATTGACCGTAAGAATCCTAACATCTCAGCATGGGATCTATGATAAATTTTACATGTACGTCTTCTATCGTGTATTATCATCTCGGCACTACACTGGCAGTGATTCAACGTTACGTAGCTTAAGAGCAAAAATAACTACTTCCAACTAAGAAATATTCATGAAATGTGTTGGAAGTGAAGTGAAAATTCTAGATCGATCTAGCATTGTATTGCTGGATTGTTGAGTAAGCAGAATAAGCCATCTCACTC